TATATATACACTCAGCGTGTGTGAGAGAGAAAGAGAGAGAGAAAGAAAGAGAGAGTTTGTCCAGTTGGAGTTGGTCGTCCTGCTCAGGCTCCGCCTCTCTCTTCTCTCTCAGCCAATCATCAGACACTCCTGGGTTGAGGTTCAACCAATCACAGGTCCGCTAGTCCTGCACGGGCCAATCATGTTCCAGAGTGGGCACCATAAATCGGCTGAGGGAGAAACAGACGCCGAGATTCAGTGACCGATTCGTTCACACACTCAAAGATTCATCACAGCAGGAAGAATTCAGTCAGCACTCGTCATAGAAAATATGAGAGTGATCGCATGGAGAAGAGCAGCGTGAACGTTCAGCTAAACATCTGCTGTTCAGCTGAAGAAAGAAAGCCAGCGGGTTTGAATGACATGAATATATGATGAGAAATCACACAGAAAGGACGTGATGAGACGAGTGAACACAGACGTGGAGGACAGAACAGAAGGAATTAATGTCATTCTCCAGCAGCCAATCACAGGCCCTCCCTCTGAGGACATGCTGCTACTGTTAGCCAATCACAGGCCCTCATTCACTGTGATCCATTTTCAGTTCATCACAGACATGCAGTAATCACTGCTACAAAACATTACACGTCATTCCCCTGTAAAGGCCCATTCACACAAACAACCATAATTACAATAATAACTGTAAAGTTTTAATGATCACTCTAATAATAAAGACCACACTTATAACTACAATGATGAGCCACAGAGGAACAATATCAATAGAATCACTTTCAGAGCGATTTTCTCCAGCTGATAAACGATCAGAATCCATCCTGCATTAAAGAGCGCGAGCATTTAAAGAGACAGACGACAAAACTGCAGAATAAACAGAACGTTATCGTATGTTGGTTTGGACGCTGGTATAGTTATCATTATAGTTAATATTAATTATCACACTATAGTTTTAGTTACTGGCACAGTAATCATTGTAGTTATTATCCCTACAGTTATCACTAGTATACTATAGTTATCAATATAGTAATCACTATAGTTATTGTTACAGTTATTGCTGTAGTTATATTTTAGTTATCGGTATAGTTATTGTTATCACTATAGTTATTGTTACAGTATCACTTTAGTAATTGGTATAGTTACTCTTATAGCTATCATTACAGTATCACTATAGTTACCTTTTAGTTATTGGTATAATTATCGTATAGTTATCACTTCAGTTATCATTACAGTATCACTAGTTATCGCTATAGTTATCACTATAGTTATTGTTATAATTATTGGTACAGTTATTGTTATCACTATAGTTATCACAGTATCACTATAGTTATTGCTTTAGTTACTTTTTAGTTATTGTTATCAGTATATTTATTGTTATAATTATCTGTACAGTTATTGTTATCAGTATAGTTATCATTACAGTATCACTATAGTTATTGTTATAATTATCGGTATAGTTATTGCTATCAGTGTAGTTATCATTACAGTATCACTATAGTTACTGTTATAATTATCAGTATAGTTATTGCTATCAGTGTAGTTATCACTATAATTATTACAGTATCACTACAGTTATCGCTTTAGTTACTTTTTAGTTATTGTTATCAGTACAGTTATCGGTATAGTTATTGTTGTCAGTATAGTTATAATTACAGTATCACTATAGTTATTGTTATAATTATCGGTATAGTTATTGCTATCAGTGTAGTTATCACTATAATTATTACAGTATCACTATAGTTATCGTTTAGTTACTTTTTAGTTATCGCTTTAGTTACTTTTTAGTTATTGTTATCAGTACAGTTATCTGTATAGTTATTGTTGTCAGTATAGTTATAATTACAGTTATCACTATAGTTATTGTTATAATTATCGGTATAGTTATTGCTATCAGTGTAGTTATCACTATAATTATTACAGTATCACTACAGTTATCGCTTTAGTTACTTTTTAGTTATTGTTATCAGTACAGTTATCGGTATAGTTATTGTTGTCAGTATAGTTATAATTACAGTATCATTATAGTTATTGTTATAATTATCAGTATAGTTATTGCTATCAGTGTAGTTATCATTACAGTATCACTATAGTTATTGTTATAATTATCGGTATATTTATTGCTATCAGTGTAGTTATCACTATAATTATTACAGTATCACTATACTTATCGCTTTAGTTACTTTTTAGTTATTGTTATCAGTACAGTTATTGTTATCAGTATAGTTATGATTACAGTATCACTAGTTATTGTTATAATTATCGGTATAGTTATTGCTATCAGTGTAGTTATCACTATAATTATTATAGTATCACTATAGTTATCGCTTTAGTTACTTTTTAGTTATTGTTATCAGTACAGTTATAATTACAGTATCACTATAGCTATTATTTAGTTATTGTTATTAGTACAGTTATCACTATAGCTATCGGTATTGTTATCAGTACAGTTATCGGTATAGTTATTGCTATCAGTATAGTTATGATTACAGTATCACTAGTTATTGTTATAATTATCGGTATAGTTATTGCTATCAGTGTAGTTATCACTATAATTATTATAGTATCACTATAGTTATCGCTTTAGTTACTTTGTAGTTATTGTTATCAGTACAGTTATAATTACAGTATCACTATAGCTATTATTTAGTTATTGTTATTAGTACAGTTATCACTATAGCTATCGGTATTGTTATCAGTACAGTTATTGGTATAGTTATTGCTATCAGTATAGTTATGATTACAGTATCACTAGTTATTGTTATAATTATCGGTATAGTTATTGCTATCAGTGTAGTTATCACTATAATTATTATAGTATCACTATAGTTATCGCTTTAGTTACTTTTTAGTTATTGTTATCAGTACAGTTATCGGTATAGTTATTGCTATCAGTATAGTTATGATTACAGTATCACTAGTTATTGTTATAATTATCGGTATAGTTATTGCTATCAGTGTAGTTATCACTATAATTATTATAGTATCACTATAGTTATCGCTTTAGTTACTTTTTAGTTATTGTTATCAGTACAGTTATAATTACAGTATCACTATAGCTTTTATTTAGTTATTGTTATTAGTAAAGTTATCACTATAGCTATCGGTATTGTTATCAGTATAGATATCGGTATAGTTATTGTTATAATTATTGGTACAGTTATTGTTATCAGTATAGTTATCACTATTACATCATTACAGTATCACTATAGTTATTTATTTAGTTACTTTTTAGTTATTGTTATCGGTATAGTTATTATTACTATTTATTGTTATATTAATCACAGTCAAACTGATGTTAGTAAACAGATTCAGAATTTAGCTTCTGACCGGATGAGACACATTCAGAGCTACTGAGAAACAGCTGACACACACACACACACACACACACACCTGTGGCACACAGCAGATCAGATTCATGTAGATTAATGTCACATTACAGGAACTGTGATATGATCAGTGACGTCATCTACACAGGAATGTTCAGTGTTGGGTCACATGGTTCATACCGCACAGCCCTGCTCACTACATCTCATCACACACACACACACACACACACACACACACAC